GATTCACTATGCCCCATCTGATTTTTTTTTAAGTTATTTATTTCTTTCATGGGTGAGAGATATAGCACTCTCAACAGGGTTTTGGCACTGATCCACCCCCACCTTCAACCAGCCCCAGATCATAGTCATGTATGTGTTCAGCATACCCGAGGAGGTCTGTGAATGCCAACCTGAAACCTTCCTGTGTGGGTCAGCCTCAGATGTAGTGCTTTGTTTTCCCACTGCTCCACCATCAGGCCCCTGAATCTGGAAGTGACTGCCCACTTACTCCTACGCCGAGGGCTCGCCTCCTTCCTGCCAGAACCCTGGTATCAGACTCTGGGCTTGGAGGAGGAATGCTGCCTGCAGCTCTGGGCCTGCAAGAATAATGGGGGGAGACTCAAGGCTGTTAACAGACTTCACCCATCCAATCTGGACATGCCTCACAGCTACCTCTGCTTCTTGGCTCTCCAGTTGGCAGGTCACAAGGGACCTCGGGAGGGCTGGGGAAGGGGAGCTGCCTGAGCACCCCAGAAGGACCCTTTAGGCCTGCTCTGTTCTTAGGCCACGAGACTTACAGAAATGGTCTCATCTGTCAGCAGCACCAGCCCAGTGCCTCCATTAGGGGACGTGGAGGACAAAAACACTCCCCCATCTGGTCACACTCTTCGAATTCAAAACTCCCCACTTTTCTTGTCTTGGGTAGAGTGGGGGCAGGGAACAGAGAAGTGAGAGAAATGTTTCTGTGCTTTCTAAATCTTTCTGTCCTCACCCTGCTGTCTCAAAGCTTGAACTTAAAGGAAGGTATCTGAGGCTTTTGTTTTCTAACTTGCCTGGACTGGAGAGGCTTCAAGGACCCAGGCAAACACGTAGGGGGAGCATTGTCACCATGAAGACCTGTGTGTCGATCCTATCCTGGTTGCGCTACCCGCCAAAACAAAAACAAAGCCTGGCTCTAGGTGCCATCCACATGGCCAGTGTTGGCATTTTTTTGGCTCAAAAATGTAAAAGTTACTGTTAGTACATTTGTCGGGCAGAGGATCCCAAACCAGAGGCCCAGGTGACCCTGGTCTTGAAGGCAGAGGCCCGTGCAAGCTTTGCTTAGACTGACAAGTAGACAATGGGGAAATTAATGGGCCCTCAGTGTTTTCTCAGCCTCGCACCCTGTCACGTGCTTTTGTCATGAACTCACAGAAGCAAGTGCCTAAGAGAGGTCCTGGGTGACTCCCGTGGCCTGGTCTGTGCTGAAGGCCTCGAAATTGGAACAGAAATGGAATCTAGGCCTTCCGTGTGGTCCCAGTCTGAGGCACACGGCATCTCAGCAGCAGGGACCACTGCAACTGGCTGGGCCCACATTTTTTTAAATAACAATTTTGGTTTTTAGAAAAATGATACTTAACATGGGGTTGACAGGTGGCATGATGGTTAGCAGCGCTGGACTCCCCTCCCACATGGCTGACCATGGTTTGAGTCCTGGACCTGGTGGCTTGCTTTTCACTTTCTCTCTCTCTCTCTCTCTGGTCAAATAAATAAATAAATAAAGGTAAATAAAATAATTCTTTAAAAAATTTAAAAGAAAACTGACGTTTAAGGGGCTGGCAGGTGGCATGGTGGTTAAGGGTGCTGGGCTCCCACATGATTGACCATGGTTAAATAAGGGAACCAGCAGGTGGCGTGGTGGTTAAGGTGTGAGACACTCCCACATGGTCGACTACGGTTCAAATCCTGGATCTGGTGGCTTGCTTTCTCACTTCCTCCTCTCCCCCCGCCCCTGTCTCTCTCTGGTCAAATTTTAAAAATGAATAAATGAATAAATAAATAAAACTAAATAAATAATTCTTTAAAAGTAAATAAATAAATAAGAAAAATGATGCTTGGGACCAGCAGTTGGCATAATGGCTATGTCGCTGGGCTCCCATGTAGTCGACCACAATTCGAGTCCCGGACCCAGTGGCTTAAACTCCCGTCGGATGTATGTGCGTGTGTGCCCAAGATCCTGAGAGGAGAATGGAGAAGGGATTGTAGTGTGGCCATCTTCCCTGGGACCTGGGGGGTGATTTCTCACTTTCTGTCTGTCTTTCCCTGTCTTTCTGGCAAACGCACTTGCCCTATAGCAAAAAAAAAAAAAGAAAGAAAGAAAGAAAGAAAAGAAAAGAAAGAAAGAAAGGAAGGAAGGTCCTGGGTCTGCGTCCTGGGACCTCTGTACACACCAGGCGTTTGCACTTGCTGTCGTCTGAGCCACCTGAGACAGGGTGCATTACCGCATGAAAACTCTGTTGTGTGTGCCTCTCTGTCTCTGGGAAAAAATTAACTTTCAAAAGTAATACTTTATAGGGGCCAGCAGGTGGCATAGTGGCTAAGGGCGCTGGACTCCAACGTGACAGATCACAGTTTGCATCCTGAACCTGACGGCTTTCTCTCTCTCTCTCTCTCTCTCTCTCTCTCTCTCACTCTCACTCTCACTCTGTCCCTCTCTGATCAAATTAAAATAAATAAAAAATGAATAAATTAATAAAGTTCAATAAAATAATTCTTTTATTTAAAATAATACTTTATAGATATATGTCACATTCAATCCCTAACGTGATTGAACATGGTTAAAGAGAAACACAAGGGCAGATGGATTTAAAACATACACCCTTGGGCCAGCCAGGGGCATGGTGGTTAAGGCCACTGGATCTCACATGGCCAATGTGCAGTTGAAGTCCTAGACCTGGCAGCTTGAAGAATATGCTGGGCACGTGGGTACCAGCAGGTGGCGTGGTAATCAAGGCACTGAACACTCCCACATGGCCAACCACAGTTTGCTTGCTTTCTCTCTCTCTCTCTCTCTCTCTCTCTCTCTCTCTCTTTGTGTGTGTCTCTCTCTGGTCAAATTAAAATAAATGAATGAATAAATTGAAAAATAAGTCTTTTAAAAAAAGAAAGAAAAAGAATACGCTGGGCATATGTGCATGCAAGCCCAAAATCCTGAGGGGAGAATAGAGAAGAGATTGGGGTATGGCCATCCCCCTTGAGGAGTGCTTTCTCACATCTCTCTCCCTCTCTGTGGTAAGCACACACACCCTATAATCATTTCTTGTTTCTTTTTTTTTAGAGATTTTTGCTATAGGCGCCACAAAGAGAGAGACAGAAAGTGAGAAATCACCCCCCAGGGGAGATGGCCACACCGCAATCCATTCTCCTCTCGGGATCTTGGGCACACACGCACACACACACACACACACACACACACACGCACACACACAGAGTGAGTTTAAGCCACCAGGTCCAGGACTGGAACCATGGTTGACTACATGGGAGTCCAGCGACATAGCCATTACGCTAACTGCTGGTCCCCCCTATAATAAATTTTTTTTTTTGAGAGATTTTCGCTATAGGGCGTGTGTGCTCGCCAGACAGAGAGAGACATAGAGACAAAAAGCGAGAAATCACCCCCCAGGGGGGATGGTCATGGCGCAATCCCTTCTCCTCCATCCTCCTCTCGGGATCTTGGGCATGCACGCACACATGCCCGGCATCAGTTTTAAGCCACCAGGTCCGGGACGCGAACAGCGGTCGACTACATGGGAGTCTAGCGACATAGCCATTACGCTAACTGCTGGTTCCTGCCCCTATAATAAATTTTAAAAGTTTTTAAAATAGAACATTTCCTGGGAATGAATAGCTTTCTTCCATTGTTAGGATGAACTACTTTGGACACTTACTTTCTGTTTCCATTTGTTGTTTGATTGGGTTTTGCCCCATGGGGAGGGAAAGAAGGGCAGGATGGAGGAGTGTAGCCAGGAACTGGCACCTGATCCAAAGGAGAAGTGGGCAGAGATCCAGGTCCCTGCTCCAAAACCAACTGCTTCTGAGTCTCCTCCTCTCCTGGAGCAAAGTAAATGAGGACCTGGGAGAGCAGAACTACCTGGAGACCTGGCCAAGGCAGGTCTGCAGCCTCCAGGAGCCAGTGAGAACCACACACCTAGGACCGGTGCTGTGGCTCAGGGAAGCCGAGACCCTGCCTGTCCACTGGGAAGAAATGGGAGGGGAGGCATGGCGAGCATGTGCTGGTGTCCGCCGCCATCCAGCTGGGAGTTCATGTGTGGAAACTGCAGCCAGCGAGGGTCCTCTTCATCTCCTCCAAGCACACTTGGTGGCCCCTCCTCCATGGACTCTTCAGGATGCAAAGAGTTTTTCCAGAAACTAGTAGTAGTTGCAAGAGGGGATGGGAGTTAGGAACAGATTTTGAACCACCGTTACAGTCAGGTCATTTGAGATAGGCCCTGGGGAAGACCTATCCCCTTCTGAGACTGGTGGGCACTGAGCAGGGCTGTGATTGACCTTCTCCAGAAGAGCCCTGCCAGCAGGAGTTGGCCGCTTCCAAGAGCTGCTGACAGCTGTTCCCCGAGGGAGCAGGAGTGGCAGGAACAGCCCCCAGGGCCCTGCTAACCCACTACTAGCTCCATTCTTGGGGTAATCCCCAGAGCACAGGTTCTCAAAATGTGAAGCACCGACCAGCTTCAGCAAAATTACCTGGAAAGCATCTATGTAAAAAGTCTGCCCTCCTCTGCACCCTCCACCCACTGAGTCAGAAGGAGAATGCCAGGGTCTGCATTGGTCTCTGCAGAACACCATCCAGTGCTCCTTAGACCTGCTAAGAAACACTGTAACCCAAGGGCTGTAAGACTCAAAGTTGGTGTGCTAGTGGCAACGCTAGCCCGTGCTGGAAACCATGTGGCAACCATGGTTTGGCCATGTAGTGCCATGTGGTATCCTGGTTTGGCTGGAAAAACATGCCAGGTTCATGGGTGGGAGGCCGGGATACGGAGGAGCTGGAAGGGCTAGGGTCTAGGCGTGGCAGGACCCAGGTGAGAGTGCTTTCCCATCTCTCAAGAGCACACATTCTTTCTACCATGAAGGGGAAGATAAAACACTCGAAATGTCCCAAAGCCCAGCGTGAACAATCACGAACCCCCCACTACCTTGCCCCCACTTTGAATCACACTCACCACAGACCACAGAGCACCTGGCAACCCTGGGAGCAGTGGGCCAACGACGCGCTCTCTTCCACCTCGGTAAGAGCTGAGCGGCACTTCCTGTGCCCCACATTGCCCTAACACATTGGTGGCGCCTCTTCCTGTGACTCTGTGTTTCCATTCTTCGCTTTTTGCTCTGCTTTGGGAACTGCGGGAAGATGAGCTTCTCACAGAGACTCTCCCGGGCCTCTTGGCATTTCCCCCTCTGTGCCCCTCATGTTTCCACCAGCGGGCAGCAGTCGTAGTCTCTCCCTGAGCCGACTCACTTTGGGAACACCAGCACCCGGAAGAGATCGCACCTCCTGCAGCAGCGTGTCACCACATCCAGGTAGAAGCAAGCCTGTTGTTTTTGTATGTTGAGTCAACTCGGCCTGACATTTCAAGGGTAGGCACAGGGTTGGGCATTCAATGGGAGAAAGAAAGTTCCAGAAAGAAATATTGGGAGCTTTAGAAAGCAAGAAGAACCAGAAGATATTTTTGGTGAGAGGCTTTGGTGAACAAAGATTTAGGGAAAAGATTTTCTGAGAATAAAAGGTTGTGCATTAGGGAATGTTTGCAAGACATGGAGACCAGGGGGGTTTCTGTCTTCCTTATACAATCTACTTTTTTAAAAAAGCAAACATAAACCGTTTACCTCTTCTTGGGATGATCCAGACAGGTGGCAGATGTGCCAAACCGCCAGTTCTGACTAAGGAAAGACATCGACGTGGAAGCCAGAGAGCACCTCAGAGGTGCCTGCAAAGATGGATGACAGCGCCCCAACCCTTTCGGAAATCAGAGGGAGGACCCCAGAGCCCGACACTCTGCTGGTGACGCTCAGCAGCCTGGAAGGGTGAGTGGCTTGGGTGGCGAGCTCCTCTCCCCAGATTGGAACAGAGGACCCTTGCCCACTCTGGGCAGCTTCAAATATAGGAGCACTGCTGCCCTTCACTACCAGGCTCAGGCCCACTGAGACCACCAAACTGTAGTTCAGGGACTTCTGCTCAGGGCTACAGGGGAAAGTAGAACGTGTTGAGTAAAGAAAGGCGCTATCTGGGGAGAGAGAGAACTGTGATCGTGTAGGTCCTTAGAGCTGGCTGGCTGGCTGGTTGGATTCCTCACCTCTCAGAGCGCCTCAGTCTCCTTCCTCGGATCCTACTGTTCACTCCTCAAGATATTCAAGCAGGGGCCAGATAGTGGTGGAACAGGGAAGCACAATGCTCTCTGTGTCCATCTCACATGGAAAGGTTCTCAGTTCAAGGTCAGAGACCTCCCTGAGCACTCTGGGCACATGCTTGGCCATGATCTGGAGCTGGCTAGAGTCGAGGGGTAGGTCACAGAGTCAAGACCCTGTTAGTGCTCTCTCTCTCTCTTTCTCTCTCCCCTCTGAGAAGAAATAAACAGACACACACACACACACACACACACACAAAATACTAGATCCTACCATAATAGAAATAAAAACCCCATTTCCCAACCATGTGCTTTTAGATCTTAAAATCTTGCTATAGGGGCTGGTGGGTGATGTGATGGTTGAGGGTACTAGTCTCCCACATAGCCAACCGTGGTTCAAGTCCCAGACCTGGCAGCTTGCTTTCTCACCTTCTCTCTCTTGCTCTCATTCTCACTCTCTCCAACTCTGTCCCTTTCTGGTCAAATTAAAATAAGTAAATAAATTAATAAAGTTAAATAAAAGCATTCTTTTAAAAGGTTGCTATAAATAAAAAATGTGATGATAGATGTAATAAAGATAGGTCTTTAGGAATATAATGTCTCAAAAAGGGGTGGATATAAATTGTACTGCTAAGGAGTTCAGTCTCACACAAACGAAAATGAAAGCTCCCTCAGTAACTGAAACTCGAGGAACTAGTAGCTATATAGTTCAGCGTGATGATAAAAGTATAGCCCAATGATAATAAATTTCAGAATTGCTATAGTTTGGGGAAATAAATGTCATTACCATGGCAGACACAGGTCACAGGTAGCTATGGCACTGATGAGGAATGAATTTGAAAAGTTGCCGGACGACTCCTCTAAAGCTATTTCTTTTTTAAAAATTTATTTAATAGGACCAGCAGTTAGCGTAATGGCTATGTCACTGGACTCCCATATAGTCGACTGCAGTTCGAGTCCTGGACCTGGCAGCTTAAACTCAGGCTGGGCGCGTGTGCGTGCATGCCCAAGATCCCGAGAGGAGAATGGAGGAGAAGGGATTGCGGTGTGGCCATCCCCCCTGGGGGGTGATTTCTCACTTTCTGTCTCTCTGTCTCTCTCTGTCTGTCTGGCGAGCGCACACGCCCTATAGCAAAAACCTCTCCAGAAAAGAAAATAATAATAATAAAAAAAAAATTATTTATTTGGGAGACCAGCAGATGGCATAATGGTTACGTCGCTGGACTCCCATGTAGTTGACCACGGTTCTGATCCTGGACTGTGCGGCTTAAACTCATGCCAGTGTGTATACATGTCCAAAATCCCGAGAAGAGAATGGAGGAGAAGGAATTGCGATGTGGCCATCACCCTTGGAGGGGTGACTTCTCATTTTCTGTCTGTCTCTGTCTCTCTGGCAAGTGCGCACACCCTATAGCGAAAAATCTCTCTAACAAAAAAGAAATGTATTTATTTTAAAAAATTTTATTTATTTAAAGAAAAAGAAATTTATTTATTTTTAACTGACAAATTAAAAATTGTACATATTTGTTGTATAAAACATGTTCTTTTGAAATAGATACCCCTTGTAGAATGGCTACATTGAGGTAATTTGCATATCCACATTACTTTGCATACTTACAATTTTTTGTGTGTATGTGGTTTTAAGTGGACTTTAAGAACTCACCTCAAAAACACGATATGTTGTTATTAACTATAGTCACCATGTTGTCCAATAGATAGAGCTCTTGAACTTATTCTTTTAACTGAAATTCTCTGTCTGTAACCAACACCTCTACAAACCCTCTCCTTCCTCAGCCCTGACTAACCGTTCTATTATTTGCTTCAATGAGCTTAAGACTTTTAGACTCCACATATACGATCATGCAGTATTTGTCTTTCTGTGCCTGGCTTATTCCATTTAACATGATGTCCTCCAGGTCCATCCTTGTTGTCACAAGTTACAGGGTTCCTTCTTTATAAACACTGGATAACGGGAGCAGCAGATGGTGTAATGGTTACATCACTGGTCCCCCACATGGCCAACCATGGTTCAAGTCCTAGACCCAGTGACTTAAACTCACGCCGGGTGCGTGTGTGCATGTCCAAAATCCCAAGAGGAGGATGGAGGAGAAGGGATTGCTGTGTGGCCAGGCCCCCCGGGGAGTGATTTCTCACTTTCTATCTCTCTGTTTCTCTCTCTCTGTATCTCCAGCTTGCACACGCACCCTATAGCAAAAACCTCTCAAAAAAAATAAAGAAGACTGGGTAAGTATCACTGTGTTCATACCCCGCATCCATTCATATGTTCACGGACACTTAGGTTCATTTTGTATCTTAAGTACTATGAATAGTGAAGCAATGAACATCGGGGTGCAGGTAGCTCGTCAACATACTGGTTTCCTGGGGATATTCACCCAGTAGTAGGATTGCTGGATCATATGGGAGTTCTTTCTTTTCTTTCTTTCTTTCTCTATTTTTTTAATTTTGCCAGAGGGCACATGCACTCATGATATGGAGAGAGAGAGAAAGCACTCTCCGTGGGGAATTGTCATGCCACAATCCCTTCTCCTCCATTTCTCCCTCCTTTCAGCATTTTGGGCACTAACGTACATGCACCCAGCGTGTTTCTCCCTCTCTTTTTTGGGGAGATAATTTTGCTATAGGGCATGTGCGCTCTCCAGAAAGACACAGAGAGACAGAAAGCGAGAAATCACTCCCCAGGGGGGTTGGCCACGCCGCGATCCCCCTTCTCCTCCATTTTCCTCTTGGGATCTTGAGCACGCACCCACACGCGCCTGGCATGAGTTTAAGCCACTGGGTCCAGGACTCAAACTGTGGTCGACTACATGGGAATCCAGCAACACAGCCATTGTGCCAACTGCTGGTCCCATCCCAGTGTGTTTCTTAAGCCACTGGATTCAGAAACTAAACTGTGCAGTCAGCCATGTGGGACCCAGCCATTTTAACCATCACCCCATGGGCTGGCCCAGTGGTTCTATTTTTTAAGTGTTCACTTGTTCGTTTTTACCATAACGCATGTGTGCTCAGCAAAAGTAGACAGAGAGACAGAGAGTGAAGGGTGAGGGAGAAATCCCCCCTAATGGGGCATGGTTGCACCATAATCCCTTCTCCTCTATTTCTCCATCCTGTCTGGATTTCGGGCATGCACACATATGTGCCTGGCCTGTTTTTCAAGGTGCTGGGCTAGGATTCAAATTGTTCAGGCAGCCATGTGGGATCCAGCTCCCTTAAGCACTAGGCCACAGAGCCAGTCCTGTCTGTTTTTAAGACAGGTCTCACTATGTCATGATCCTCCTGCTTCGGCCTCCCACCTGAGTACCGCCACACCCCACTCATTTTTAGACAGGACCTTGCCATCTTGTCCAGCCCAACCTCAAGCTCAAGATCTTCCTGCCTCGGCCTCCCTGAGTCTCTGGGATTACAGGCACATGCTACTGTGCCCAGCCTTGATGTCAGATCAGAAATCAAACTCAGGCTTCCCATCGGGTTCCAGCCTGCCAAGCACAACATTTTAGCCATGCACACCACCACACCCAAGCTTATTTTTAATTTTTCGGAGAACCTCCTTACTGTTTTCTATAATGGATATACTACCTGCAAAACTATTTTTATATTCATTCATTTGTTTGTAAATTCATTTCCCTCTTTAATGTAACAAATATTCATCAGGCCCTTTACTAAGTTATCGGGTATTCGTCAAGGCCCAAGGAGAACAGGATAGACAAGTCCATCACCATGGTTAGCCGAGTGGAGAGCCACGTACAGCATCCTGTAATATCAGTCAGTCAGAAGTACTATGAAGAGGGACCAGCAGGTGGCGTGGTGGTTAAAGCGCTGGACACTCCCACATGGCTGGCCACAGTTCAAGTCCCTGACCTGATGGCTTGTATTTTCACTTTCTCTCTCTTCTCTCTCTTTCTCATCAAATTAAAATAAATGAATGAATAAATAAAAATAAGTAAATATTAAAAAACGAAGTGCTATGAAGAAAAAGTGAAGCAGACTGAGGGGACTGCAAATAACAGGGTGTGTCCTGGGAAGTCCTGTCTGAGGAGGTGACATTTCGGAAGAGACCTGAATGAAATGAAGGTTCGAGGCATGCAGACAGCAGGAAGAGGAGGCTTCCTAGGAGGGAGAGAGAGCACCCGGTCTGAGACAGAACTTTGTAGGGACAAGGAACAGCAAGGAGTCCTGGCAGTCAAAGTCAGAGGGACAGGACCAGAAAACGAGGATGGAAGGTAGGCAGAGGCCAGATAAAGTCCTCTCTGGGTAAGAGCTGTAGACTGCATTCTAGTGTGGTGGAAAACCCTGGAGGATTACGAGCAGGAGAGAAGTGGTCTGATTTTCTATTTAGCAGGACACGCTGACTCCTGTGTGAAGATAGCGTGTTGGGGCCGAGAGCGAAGGCAAGGGTGCCAGTTAAGGAGGCTATTGCAAAGGGCCATGCTGAACTCATGGCGGCTTAGACCAGGCTGGCAGCAGTGAGGAAGAAGTGGTTGTTTTCAGGATAGACACTCAGGGCGGAGTGGGCAGAATCTGCTGCCTTAGCTGGAAGTGGGGTATGAAAAGAAAAGAGTAAGTTGAGGGCTGGCAGGTGGCATGGTGTTTGAGGTGCTGGACTCCGCCATGGCTGACCATGGTTCAAGTTGGCCATATCCCCTGGGAAGTGATTTCTCAATTTCTGTCTGTTTCTCTCTGTCTCTCTGGCAAACATACAACCCTATATCAAAAATTAAAAAAAAAAATAAAAAAAAAAAAAAAAAAAAAAGAGTAGGGAAGAATGTCTCTAAGGGCCAGCGAGTAGCATGGTGGTCAAGACACTGGACTACCACACTCTCTCTCTCTGATAAGTGTGTATGCCCTATAGCAAATTAAAATATAATAATAAATGCTAAAATTAAATATATAATTCTTAAAATAAACTAAAACAGTGACTTCAAGGGTCTAAGGGCCAGCGAGTAGCATGGTGGTCAAGACACTGGACTACCACACTCTCTCTCTCTGATAAGTGTGTATGCCCTATAGCAAATTAAAATATAATAATAAATGCTAAAATTAAATATATAATTCTTAAAATAAACTAAAACAGTGACTTCAAGGGTTTTTATTTTATTTATTATTATTACTATTTTTCAAGAATTATTTTATTTATTTATTTAATAACTTTATTTATTTATTTATTTATTCTAATTTGACCAGAGAAGGACAGATTGAGAGAGATAGAGAGAGAGAAAGTAAGAAAGCAAGTCACCAGGTCTGGGACTTGAACCATGGTTGGTCATGTGGGAGTCTAGTGCCTTTAACCACCATGCCATCTGCTGGCCCCTATTATTATTATTTTTAATTTGCTATAGGGCATGCATGCTCACCAGTGAAAACAGGGGGAGAAGGGGAGTGAGAAAGCAAGCTGCCAGGATCTGGACTCGAATCACTGTCAGCCATGTGGGAGTCCAGCACATTAACCATACCACCTACTAGCCACAGCTCCAAGGTTTTGACAGAGCCACTAGATGATGAAAAAGGAGGAGGAGAAGGTTTATGGAGGGAGAACAGTGGTTCTGTTTTGCTTTGAGATATGTCAGGCAGCCTCCTGGGAACATCTGGTAGAAAGCCAGATAAATAAGTCTAGAACTCAGGACAAAAACCTTCCCTGGTAGATGACCTGGTTTCTAACATTCAGGGGTAGATGTCAGCTACTAATTCCTATGTAACTTCAATGGGCTGCTTCCTGTTACAGTACACAGCCACCAAAGGCCTAATCATCTGGATGCATTTCAACACTCAGGCCAAGCAGAGCACTAATAGCCCAGCTCTGCAAACTGGGGAAGGTTAAATTCCACACAAGGCAGATGTTGCTTGGAAACCAGCTCCACAAGCTGGTGCTGTGGGGGTTACTCAAGTTCACGCACTTTGGACTGCGTCACAGAGCCACTCCTTACTGGAGAGTTGAGTAATCCTCTCTTCCCAGCAGGCCAGGAGGCCGGGGAGGGGAGCGGGCAGCAAGGAGAAGCAGAGGCGGATGGATTGACTTTGAAAGTTAGGAGAACTGTGAAGGAGTGAAAAAAACAAGATCTTTGGCCTCAAACAGACCTCGACTCCCATTCCTCTCTACTCATTTCTACCTGTATGATGTTGGACAAGTTACTTGACCTTTCCAAGTCTACTCTCAGGTTCCCTGGCCACGAAGAGAAGCATGACTATTGTAAAGATTAAATAAGCTTGGGGCCAACCAGTGGTGTGGTGTTTGAGGTGGCTGGATCCCACATGGCCCACTGTACCCTTCCAGTTCCTGGCATGGTAGCTTAAAAAACATGCCAGGTACATGTGCGTGAGCACCCCAAATCCCAAGAGGGGAATGGAGGAAAAGAGATTGCAGCATGGCCGTCCACCCTGGGGGATGATTTCTCACTTTCTCTCTCTCTCTTTCTTTCAGGCAAGTACACACACACTATAGCAAGTTTTAATAATAAAATTAAAGGGCCAGTAGGTGGCATGGTGGTTAGGGGTGCTGGACTCCCACATGGCTGATTATGGTTTGAGTCCTGGACCTGGTGGCTTGCTTTCTCACTTTCTCTCTCTCTCTCTCTCTCTCTCTCTCTCTGTCCCTCTCTGGTCAAATTAAAAATCAAGAAATTAAAATAATTATTTAAAAATAAATAAATAAAATTTTAAAAGACAAAATAGCTTTTACATGCAAACCCCTGACACCCAGGAGGCATTCCGAAGAGACATTTCCTTTCTCTCACGTCCGATTGCTCTCTCTCCACAAAGTTGATATTTAGAGATGACTTGCCCACCACGTGGCCCTCCCACTTTGGCTTTCCTTCTGTGGCTCAAACTGTTGTGCAAGAGTCTTCTCCATCTTCCCCTCCCTCCTGTAGGACATGGCACTTGGTTTTCTTTCTAGAGCTAAAGACCACAGCATCAGCCTCTTTTCTGGGTTCGCGGGACTCCTCGCCATCCTCTTGTCCCTCGTGGGTTGCTGCATCCTGTGGAACTGGAATAAACGGAAGAAGCGTGAGTCCTTCATTTGTTCTGAGTTGGGATTTACTGGGAGTAATCATCCAGCCCAGCATTTAAAGCTTAGCTTTTTCTAGGAATAATCCATTGTACCGGGGAGTCCTCCATTCTTTTCCTTCACACTGGTCACTGCCTCGCTCAAGGTCTTGAACAGTGACTCCAAAGGTCCAGTGACTTGAGCTCCATCAGAAATGACACTGCCCTAGTACCTTGTGCCCAGGGTCTCCTTCCTGCTTCTGCCCACCGAGTCCCCTCTTCCTCTTGCTCATATGGAAATTCTGCTAACTGAAGTCTGAAAATGTACGATTTGTGATACTCAGAGAGGTTAGGGCTTATTTTTCAAGACCATTTCATCCCTAAGGGTCCTGACATTCTGTGCTCTGGCCCTACCATGCCCTCATTCTCTCTCGTTGCCTTGCAGGACGTGTTCCTTACTTCCGAGTTACCGACATGCCCTGGCTGACACTGCCTCGACCCAGACAGCGCGCCAAAAATATCTATGATCTCTTGCCTAGGCAACAAGAAGAGCTGGGTAGGATTTTTCCCTTAATCCATGGAGTCCAGACATTCCCAACTTCTGCTCCAGAATGCTCCTCTTACTATCCGGAAGCAGCTTTCTGCAGGCTTTCAAACATTTCTGCCCTTGAGTGAGCTGCTAAGAGAAGGGAAGAGATAGACTGTACATTGTGGCTCCAGTGAGAGGGCCTAGAGAGGTCTAGAAAGGGAGCAGAGGCTGGTCTGGGCATGGGGGTTGTTTTTGATGCTAAGGCAGCAGAAGGAAGCTGGGTGTGTCCAGGTATGGGGAAGCCGCGCAGAAGGGGAACATGGCACCAGTATTTGCAAGCAGATGTGTGGGGTGGTCGTCCACAGGAGCTTCCTTCTCAGCCCCTCTGACTCCTGTGCTAGCATCCTTCAGCACCACAGAAGCTCAAGGGGCATCCAGGTCTCAGGGCACATCATCCCTGGGGCTCTGACCCTCTGACCACCAAACATCAGGCCCCAGAACACCATGCACCCCATATGCCCAGTGTACCCATGACGCGCTCAGCCGAGTGGCCAGTTATCTTCAGGAAGTGTCCTCTGCCCTTTCAGGGAGACATCCGTCAAGGAGTCTTCGTGTCTTCAGCACTGAGAGCCTCCTCTCCCGAAGTTCAGACAGCCCTGAACATGCGGTAAGAGTCAAGTGAAAAGACGGCCCCTTAGGAGAATGCCACACCTCTGGCAGGAGAATCAGGGAAAAAGAGTTCTAGGGCTGGGATCTGGTTTCACTGCAAGCAAACAGCATGTTCCTTGGCACCTGCCCCGTGGTCCTATTAATAAATTGGGAAGACTAGCCTCAGGTCCTCCCTACTGCACAAGGAGGGAAAAGTAAGAAAGACGGGAGCAAGTGCTCCAGGTTTTAAGAAAGGCGCCACCAGGGGGGCCAGCAGGTGGTGCAGTGATTCAGGTGCTGGACTCCTGCATGACTGACTGCAGTTCGAGTCCTGGACCTGCCAGCTTGCTTTCTTACTTTCCCTCTCTCTTTCTTTATCTCTCTCTGATGAGTGTGTGTGCCCTGTAGAAAAAATTTAAAAGCAATAATAATAAATAAATAATTCTTTTTTTAAAAAAAAAGAAAGAAGAAAGAAAGGTACTAGGTACCTGTGTTCAAGTATGTGATATTAGAACTGAAACGAATTGTCCTAACAGACGTGATGACATGCTGGTGTATGTCAATGCTAGTGATGCTTAAAACACAACTGAGGCCCCAGCCTAAGGGGCACAGTGCATAGCATATGGACTACAGCGTTGGATACCACATGCCCACTGCCAGTTTAGAGCCCCAGATTGGCTTGAAAATACACCAGGGTGGGACCAGCAGATGGAGTAATAGTTACGTCTCTGGACTCCCACATGGCCAACTGCAGTTTGAGTCCCTGCCTTGGTGGCTTAAAACTCACGCCGGGTGTATATGGATGTGTGCCCCAAATCCTGAGAATGGAGGAGAAGGGATTGCAATGTGACCATCCCCTTCAGGGGATGATTTCTCACTTTCTGTCTCTCTGTCTCTCCAGCAAGCACACATGCCCTATAGTAAAAATCTCTCCAAAAAATAAGAAGAAAATACACTAGGTCTATACATGGGTGCTCAGGACGTATGGGGAACAGAGACCATGGCATAACCCTGCTGAGAAAGCTTATGTTCTCTCTCTCTCTCTCTCTCTCTGTTGCATGCACACATTCTCTATCATTGAAAACAAAAGACAGAAAGCAAAGACATAAAAACTTAAAACCTTGCTTTGGCAAAATCTGTATCAAATTGTTTATAGTAGTCTCAATAGCAGGAATATTAGTAATCCATTCACACGTGGCTTATGTGGAAAGCGTTGAATCAAAATGAGAGTAACCTCTGAAGTGACCAGCGGAGCCTTACAATTAATGACAATCATCTCAAGTGTTTTAGAATCAGGCTCTGAATGCAGCTCCTAAGGAGGAGTCCAGCCAGTCCAACGCCAAGATACCTGGGGTAGTGAAAGGACTGCCTTGAAGACCAGGGTGCTGACTTTCAGAGACAAGTTTGTTTGAGAATCAGTCCCAGGTCACCGGTAGCCTAGTGGTTAAGGGAGCCAGATCCCATATGTCAAACCACGATTCAAATCCTTGCCTTAGGGGCTTGAAAAAAACATGCTAGCCGCATGTGCGTGCATACCCACAATCCCATAGGATAGAAAAATGGAGTAGGGATTGTGATGTGACCACGCCCCATCAAGGGATGCTTTCTCCCTCTGCCAACCCTCTCCCCATCTCTTTCTGGTAAATGTACGTGCCCTCTGGCAATTTAAAAAGAATCAATTCCTTTGGTTTCATGCTCATCTTTGGTGAGCATTGGTGTCACCAAACCTCCCATTGCCAGAGGTTTGGGTTCAGTTACCACTCAGCCACCTCCTTGTGACCGCTTTCCCTCCTCCTCTTCCCGCTCTCCGCTCTTTGGTCTCTGCTTCTGCCAGTGTAAGACTTCCTGGGGTAGCAAGTCTGAGTGGCCAATGAAGAGCAGAGAAAAGAAAACTCTATTGCCAGAACCAGTTCCAGGACTTGAGCTGGCCCCGAGGAGATTTTATTTAGAGCTCAAGTCCCAACTTGACTTAAGCCCCAAAACAGGTGTGTCTTGAATTCTGTAATGTCTGAAAACATATTTTGAATCAGTTGTGAAATACAGATATTTCACAGTGAAAATCCAGTTGTCCTGCTTCTCTTGAAAATTCTGAAATTCTGGGGCTGACAGGTGGCGTGGTGGTTAAGTTGCTGGACTCTCACGTGGCAGAGTGCAGTATGAGTCCTGGACCTGGTAGTTTGCTTTCTCACTTACTCTCTCTCTCTGGTCAAATGAAAGAATAATAACAATAAATTTTAAAATAAATAAGTAATTATATATTAAAAAAGAAAATTCAGAAATTCTAGAAACATCAGACTAACATCCCTAAGTGAGAGTAATCAACTCTGAGTCAGCTTTCCTTTAATAATGACAGGCATTTTTTAGTGTGTTTTATGTGCCATGAACTATTCTAAATACTTTATACATAGTAATCCATTTACTGCTCATGAAACCTTGTGGTGTAGATAGTATGATAATCCTCATTTTATTATCCTCTATGAAGGCACATAGAGATTAGGTCCAGTGTTCAGGCTCACCCAGCACACAGGGATGAGGCCAGCCTCTGCACCCTCTGGATCTATACGTCTACCTCTAGCCACTATGCTGTCTTGCCTCTCACTGTGCTTCAAGGAGACCAGTTCTCTCCAGTATTCTCTTTGTGTGTGTTTGTTTGTTTGTTTGTTTGTTTGTTTTGCCCTAGGGCACATGCACTCACCAGAGAAGAGAGAGACAGACAGTGAAAGGGAAAGTGAGAAAATAACTCCCTGGGGGAATGACCACACTGCAGCCCCTTCTTCTCCATTCTCCTCCTGGGATTTTGGGCATGCACACACACGGGCCCAGTGTGATTCTCAAGCCACCACGTCTGGGACATGAATTGCAATGGCCAGTTGGGAGTCTAGCACTTTGACCAATATGCCGCCTGCTGACCCCTCTCCAGTTTTTTTTTTTTAATTCTATTCATTCATTAATGTATTCTCATTTGACTAGAAAGAGACACATACAGAGAGAGAGAAAGAGAGAGAGGGAAAGTGAGAAAGCAAGCCACCAGGTCCAGGACTTGAACCATGGTCAGCCATGTGAGAGTGTCCAGCGCCTTAACCACTATGCCACCTGCTGGTCCCCCCCCTCCAGTTTTTAATCCTTCCCTCTGACTCCCCAAAGAACCCCCACACCGTGACCAAAAACCAGCTACACCTTGCCATCACATTTACTCTGTTGCTTTTCTTAAACTGGGCCCATTTTGCTCATACCTACCTGGCATCTAGAGCACTACACTTGACTCCAAATTTAGAGCTTCTCTCCAAACCAGAGAACAGAGTGAAGGAGTGCGGTAGTGGGGCCACCAGTGCAGGGAAGGAGACAGGCTGTGTCCATGTTTCTGCTCTCACCCTGTCACAACTTTCTCTTCTCCCTTGTAGCCCTCCCAAGCTGGCAGTGCCCTCCAGGTGCATAGAGCTTACCTCCATACTGTGGGGTACACAGTGGGTGTCTATGACAATGCCTCGGTACCTCAGATGTACGGAGACGTCACTTCCTCAGCACCCTATGTCAACATCAGAGCTCCCGAAGACTGTCTGAGCATTTCTTCAGAAGATTCAAATGATTATGTTAATGTCCCCAGAGAAAACGAGATCGCCGAGACCCTGATTTCTGTCAGTGGTTCCCCTAGAAATGTTGTTCTTCCAACTGCTCAAGAGTTGGAGTTTACTGAGGAAAGCCATGAGGGCTGGGATGATGCTGGTGACTGGCCCAGTGCATGGTCTCCCCCAGCGAAGGGCAGTGATCCACTCAGCGATGGAGACAGTTCTTCTCAGACCTCACATGACTATGTCAACCTGGCAGGGTTGGACCTTGAAGTGATCCAGGAGCAGGGACCCCGGACAGATTGTCGGTGTGGTGGAGATTATGTGAATGTCCCACCAGAAGAACCCAATAGAAGCCAGCAGCAGGCTGAGGAAGAATTGACATCCTCAAACACGAACTGTGTAGCAGCCAGGACAGAGAGTGTAGAGACCCACGTCCAGCCTGTCACGAGAAGGTTCCTGCCTCCAGGGGACTATGTGGCCTTTCAGCCATTCTCACAGAGTGAAGACAGTCAAATGAAGCATGAAGAAGAGGTGTCAAGTGAAGACTCCCATGACTATGAGAACGTACTAGTTGCCAGCTTGGGAGGCAGGGACTCTGAGCAGGTGCATGGCACTCAGCACCTTCCTGATGAATGAAGACCTAGTTGCTTGGCTCCAAAGCCACATGGTGTGGCCCATTCTGCCACTGCAGAGTCTAGACCCTTGACTGCCTCAGGGTTTCAATGGATTCACTTGGTTAGGCTAAGAAAAGGCTGAGATGAGCAGAGAGCTCTTTGAGGCAAAAGCAGAAGTTTGAGGAAGCCAGAAAGAAATTCTTCCCAAGCAAAACTACTGTTCTGTCTCATACTAATCTAAGAGTGTCTGATGAAACTGCTAGTTTCTAGGACAGGCTAGTGCCGCGGGACACAGTGGAAATATATAGTAGTCTCATGTCATTGCCTTCTCTAATGCCTGTGAGCTGCAGGGTGAGAGAAAAGGATTGCACAGGAGCATTTCTAGGATGGTGGAGCTGTTCTGTAGAGTACTGTGTGGTGGGTGCACGACTGTGCACTTTGTCAAAACAGAAAGAACTGGACCCTTCAAAGAGAGACTTTCATTGTATGCAAATTTTTAAAAATTAACCAGACTGCTGGCAGGCCCCTAGAATGTGACAAGTGAATCTAATCATTTTACAAATTATTTCACCCCCATCGCTAGAGGAGGTGAAGGGAAAAGATAGGACATAGGGGGCCAGCAGGTGGTATGGTGATTAAGGGCACTGGATTCCCTCATAGCCAACTGTGGTTCAAGTCCCAGAACTGACGGTATGCTTTCTTACTTTCCCTCCCTCTCTCTTGCACTCTCTCACTCTGGTAAAATTTTAAAAATAAATAAATAAATAAATAAATAAATAAATAAATAAATAAATAAATAAATAAATAAAACAATTCTTTTGGGGAAAAGAAGGGAAGGATAGGATCCTATTAATCTTGGAAAACAATGGTTTGACTGAACAAACAAGTTACATATAAGGAGAGGCAGGTTTTTAGCCCTCAGAGGAAAAAATGTGACAAATAAGGAAGAAGGAAAAGCCAGAATGAACCCTGGGGTGCTGGGTTAGAGTTAGAGATACAGCTTGAGCTCCTGTTTATTTTAATACACACACAAGTAGACATGATACAATAAGTGAAAGCATGTGTGTGTATATATAGGATAGTATATGTATATACATGTTTCCTGGCACTGTGCACCTAAAAAGCAATAGCACCTCAGTTAGAATGAACATTCTTAGCACTCAGATCTTGGTTTCTAAATATCATCCTCTAATAAAAGGAACCAGAGCTCCATGGAGAAATAGCTAGCTGTAGGACTGTGGTAGCAAAAATACAGGATGAGCTCGAGTCGCTCATAGAAAAGGAAAGAAAAGACAGGGAGAAAGAGATGACAGAGATATTAGAAGGAGCCAACTTCTTGTTGGCTCCCAAAGGCAAAGTTGGAACAATGTAAGCAATAAAAATAACTATTGTATTGACTAATAAACCAAAGAGGAAATATTCATGATTCCATCCCAATGATTGACAAGTAAATAAAATGGAGAAAGGGACAAATCTTCCCTAAGGATGAATTCCAAATAATACACTTTTAAAAATAAGGAAATAGGGCCAATAGGTGGCATGGAGGTTGAAGCTGCTGGATTCCCACACGGCCGACTGTGGTTTGAGACCCGGACCTGGCGGCTTGCTTTCTCACTTTCTCTCTTTCTCTGTCTCTCTTGAGTCAAATTGAAATAAACAAATGAATAAATAAATAAAGTTAAATAATTCTTTTTAGAAATAAGGCAATAGAAAATCATCATTAAGATATTACAGAATAGGGGCCAGCAGGTGGTGTGGTGGTTAAGGACCCTGAACTCCCACATGGAGGACCATGGTTTGAGTCCCAGACCTGGCAGCTTGTTTCTCACTTTTTCTCTGTCTCTCACTCTGTTTCTTGAAAGAAAGAAGAACAAAAGGAAAAGAAAAAAAGAAAGAGAAAGGAGAAAGAAGGAAGAAAGTTAAATGATTTTTAAAGAATTATGTTATTTTATTTTATTTTAATTAACTTATTTATTTTAATTTGACCAGAGAGGTACAGAGCGAAAAAGAGAAAGTGAGAAAGTAAGCTGCTAGGTCCAGGACTTGACCCACGATCAGCCATGTGGAAATCCAGAGTCTTTAGCCACCATGCCACCTGCTGATACCGTTAAATAATTCTTTAAAAAATAAAAAAGAGGGGTCCAGCAGATAGCATGATGGCTATGTCGTTGAGCTCCCATGTAGTCTACCACAGTTTAAGTCCTGGACCCGGTGACTTAAACTCATGCCAGGCACGTGTGCGTGCATGCCCAAGATCCCAAGAGGAGAATGGATGAGAAGGGGTTGCGGCGTGGCCATCCTCCTTGGAGGGTGATTTCTCACTTTCTGTCTCTCTGTCTCTGTCTTTTTGGCAAGCACATGTGCACTATAGAAAAAACCTCTCCAAAAAAAATTTTTTTTAATAAAAATAAGAAAAAAAATTACAGAATAATCACTGCAGGTGAATTTACTAATGAATGCTAACATTAGTAGGTAACAGTATAAGGAAAAACAAGGCAGTCTCATATCCTCAAAGAATCTTCCCAAAAATATGTATTCAGTATTATGATGAAGTTAGCACATGTCCACAAATTATTGTCTATTTCTCCAGTTAGAATGAGAATACTTACCTCAATTCTTTTCCCCTTCACTGTGCACTGGATTTAGTGACTCTTTTCTAATGAATGGAATATATTGGGTTGTTGGAAAATCATCATGCATTTTCTCTGTTTTTCTATGCAAACATGTGGCGTAACTTTCCCAACAACCCAATAGAAAGGGGAAAGGATTAAATTTATGGCCGAGAAACTAGGCAGATACAACGTTGACCAGGTGACTAAATTTAGCCCATCAGTAATAAGTCACATTGGACTGTGTTTCGAGTCCTGGGCTGGGTGGCTTAAACCTCACACTGGGTGTGAGTGGATGCATGCCCAAAATCCTGAGAGGAGAAAGGAGGCAAGGGATTGCAGTGTTGCCATCCCCTCTTGGGAATGATTTGTCACTTTCTGTCTGTCTCTCTGTGTCTCTCCAGCAAGCACACACACCCTGTTGCAAAAATCTCTCTCTAAAATAGGTGGTTGCCACCTGGCAAAGCTGCTCACCCAAGAGCCTTTTGGGTGTATTTCCTTTCTTTTTTTTCCTTTCTTTCCTATTAAATCTTCTTTTCAAACTTAAAAAAAAAAAATCAGTTCAGACCAGCTCAATCCGGTTCAGATTGACTCAGTCCAGTTTAGACCTGTTTAATCTGGTTCAGACCAGCTCACACTTGTTCAGTCTGGTTTAGACTGGTTCAATCCAGTTCAGACAGACTAGTTTAATCCAGTTCAATCCAGTTCAGACTGGTTCAATCCAGTTGAGAGCAGCTCAGACTGGTTCAGGCTGGTTCAGACTGGTTCAATCCAGTTGGGACCATCTCAGACTGGTTCAGGCTGATTCAGACCAGCTCAGACCGGTTTAATCCGGTTTGGGCCAGCTCAGACCGGTTTAATCCGGTTGGGATCAGCTCAGACTGGTTCAGGCTGGTTCAGACCAGCTCAAAGCGGTTTGATCTGGTGGGGACCAGCTCAGACTGGTTTAATCCAGTTGGGAACAACTGAGGCTGGTTCAGACCAGCTCAGACTGGTTTAATCCACTTGGGACCAGCTCGGACCAGTTTTATCCGGTCGGGACCAGCACAAACTGATTATATCCGGTTTGGACAAGCTCAGACCGTTTGATTTGGTTTGGGCCAATTCAGTCCTGTTTACTCTGGTTGGCACCATCTCAGACCGGTTTGATCCAGTATGGACCAGCTCAGACTGATTTTATCTGATTGGGACCAGCTCAAACCAGTTTGATCCGGTTTGGACCAGCTCAGGCCAGTTTGATCCAGTTTGGACCAGCTCAGACTGGTGTGATCCGGTTGGGACCAGCTCAGAGCGGTTTGATCCAGTTCAGACCAGCTCAGACCGGTTTAATCCACTTGGGACCAGGTCAGACTGCTTCAGACCAGCTCAGACCGGTTTGATCCAGTTTGGACCAGCTCAGACCAGTTTGATTCAGTTTGGACCAGCTCAGACTGGTGTGATCCGGTTGGGACCAGCTCAGACTGCTTCAGGCTGGTTCAGACCAGCTCAGACCGGTTTGATCCAGTTTGGACCAGCTCAGACCAGTTTGATCCAGTTGGGACCAGCTCAGACTGCTTCAGGCTGGTTCAGACCAGCTCAGACCGGTTTGATCTGGTTTGGGACAGCTCAAAATAGTTTAAACCGGTTGGGACAAGCTCAAACCAGTTTGATCTGGTTTTGGCCAGCTCAGACCGGTTTAATCTGGTTTGGACCAGCTCAGACTGGTTTTATCTGGTTGAGACCAGCTCAGACCGGTTTAATCCGGTTTAGACCAGCACAGACCGGTTTGGCCCACCTCAGACCGGTTTGATCCGCTTTGGATCAGCTCAGACCAGTTTTATTCGGTTTGGACCAGCTCAGACCAGTTTGATCCGGTTCAGACCAGCTCAGACCGGTTTAATCCACGTGGGACCAGGTCAGACTGCGTCAGGCTGGTTCAGACCAGCTCAGATCGGTTTGATCGGGTTGAGACCAGATCACACCGGTTTGATCTGGTTTCGGTGACCTCAAACAGGTTTGATCCGGTTGGGACCAGCTCAGACCGGTTTAATGCACTTGGGACCAGGTCAGACTGCTTCAGGCTGGTTCAGACCAGCTAAGACCGGTTTGATCCAGTTGGGACCAGCTCAGACCAGTTTAATCCACTTGGGGCCAGGTCAGACTGCTTCAGGTTGGTTCAGACCAGCTCAGACCGGTTTGATCGGGTTGAGACCAGATCACACCAGTTTGATCTGGTTTCGGCGAGCTCAGCCTGGTTTAATCCGGTTGGGACCAGCTCAGACTGATTTTATCTGGTTGGGACCAGATCAAACTGGTTTGACCCAGTTTGGACCAGCTCAGACCGGTTTAATCCACTTGGGACCAGGTCAGACTGCTTCAGACCAGCTCAGACCGGTTTGATCCAGTTGGGACCAGCTCAGACTGCTTCAGGCTGATTCAGACCAGCTCAGACCAGTTTGATCCGGTGTGGGACAGCTCAAAACGGTTTAAACCGGTTGGGACCAGCTCAGACCAATTTGATCCGGTTTTGGCCAGCTCAGACCGGTTTAATCCGGTTTGGGCCAACACAGAACAATTTGGGCCAGCTCAGACTGGTTTAATCCTGTTGGGACCAGCTCAGACCGGTTTAATCCGGTTTGGGCCAGCTCAGACTGGTTTGATCTGGATTGGGCCAGCTCAGACCGGTTTAATATGGTTGGGGCCAGCTCAGAACGGTTTAATCCAGTTTAGACTGGCTCAGACCTGTTTGATCCGGTTTATACTGGATCTGACCAGTTCAATTCAGTTGAGATCAGTTTTGTCCAGTTCAAATCGGTTCAATCCAGTTCAACTAGGTCAGACTGGCTCAGACTGGGTCAGCCCGGTTCAGACTGGCTCAGACCAGTTTAATCTGGTTCAGACTGGCTCAGACCAGTTCAGACTGACTCAGTCCAGTTCAGATTGGCTCAGATCAGTTTAATCTGGTTCAGACTGGCTTAAACCAGTTCAATCCTGTTCAAAATAATTCAGTCCAGGGAACCAGCAGTTAGCGTAATGGCTATGTCGCTGGACTCCCACATAGTCAACCGCGGTTCGCGTCCCAGACCCAGTGGCTTAGAACTCACGCTGGGCTCATGTGTGTGCGTGCCCAAGATCCCGA